CAGTAACGGCCTACTATTTAATCAATGACACGTATTGTTCTTAATGTCAATAAAAGTTATGTTTTCAAAAAAAACTAAAACTTGTCACTTACAAATCCATTTGCCACTCCTGTATTTGAAGCTCCACCACCACCCGCCACGAGAACATGACGATTCGTAAGGGTTTCGAGGGTGTAAAGTGGAAAATCGACCTTAGCAAGAAGCCCATCACATCTATTACGAGACATTTTGACTTATAACATTTATAGTATGGACTCCACACTACGTAATAATTTGTATAACACTAACTGGAACTTAGATTAAGCTCCATGAGTGCTTCTGTGTTAACAATATAAACAAAAGTTGGAATAATATGGCATTTAAACAATACGAATAGGAACTAAACAAGTGACAATAATTCCCTACTTCCAACATGACAAAAGTCAAATTGACAGCCATTGACAGCAAACATTAAAAAAAACTGTGTCTCTTCTATACTGACACAGATTCACAATGCGTATATAATCTGTTTAAGGTAATGGAAAAAACTCTTTTGATTTTTTTTCCTAGTAATTAAGTAATTGTTGAGTTGAGAACAGATTTACATTACACTCACAATCCACCAAACCAACTTTTGAGATGTCTAAGATAAATAGGTTTAAAACACAAGCGTTTTCCTGCCAACGCTGATAAGCACATTACCACTTAACATTAAGTGAGATTGTCTTCAAGCATGGCCTATGAAATGTGATGTGTAAGTGATCTGGTTTAACCAACCCATTCTATATATTTCGTTTAGAAATACAATAAAAGATTTCTTAAATTTCCAAACGTTTCTAACAAAACTAAAAAGAGAAAAACGTCAATAAAACGTCAACTGTCAAATCAATTAAAGTAGAATTTACAACACAAATTTGTACTTGTAAATGAAAATGAAACAATGTCAAATGCTTTGCATTCATTAATTAAATTAAGGAAACAAAATGAATCACGAGGAGATATTATCGGTGGTTCAGGAGAAGTTTTTGTCGAGTGAACTCGTGACGGCATTTCTATGTGATGCTAAAGTGCTGCGCCCAGATTGCGTTAAGAAGGATAGACTTCTGGCAATCGTTGAATATGGAGACGAAAAAGCGGTTTTTTGTTTATTCACATCTTGTTACCCACCTAAATCGTTTACTGATTTATCCATAGAAATAGTACTGCCCATAGACAATAGTTTTAAATGTGAAATTGATAATAAGCCATCAGATCCTGAGGCAATTTTGTACCTGAATCTCCAGTCACGTAATAGTAAGTTTAAGTTTGAAATTCAAATGACTCCGAGGGTCGACAATTTCGTTGATGATTTGTTTCGTGGTATTGAAGCAGTCAACAAACTTACCACACAACCTGAGTTTGTCTGGCTTAAGAAATACGATGGCCAAAGAGAAGATGACTTTATAGCACAGAGTATGGTCTTACCCAGGAGTGGAATGGCTCACACACAGGTTTCCGCCCCAGTGGCCATTAGGGAAAGTCTGATTAAAAGAAAAATGTCAGATAAAGAATTTGACTACACATTTACAAAAAGATTTACAATATTTTGTGGCACATGGAATGTTAATGACAAATCTCCAGTAATACCATTAAAAGGATGGTTGTGTGTAGACAAGGAGCCACCAGACATATATGCAATAGGTTTTCAAGAGTTGGATCTCTCGAAGGAAACATTTCTCTTTGACCAAACTTTCCGAGAGGATGAATGGTACAATGCGGTTAGAACTCATGTTGATCCAAGATCGAAATATGTCAAAGTGGAGATTGTGAGGCTTGTCGGTATGATGTTAATAGTATTAATCAAAGAGAAACATATGTCACACGTAAGGAATGTAGTGTGTGATACCGTGGGAACTGGGATCATGGGTAAAATGGGTAACAAAGGTGGTGTTTCCATAAGATTTGATCTTCACAATACATCAATATGTTTTGTAAACTCACACTTAGCAGCGCATGTTGAAGAGTATGAGAGACGCAATCAAGATTTCAGAGATATCTGCTCTCGAACCAGATTTGTTCAACCAAATCAACTGCCCAAAGCAATCAAGGACCATGATCAGGTATATTGGTTGGGTGACCTTAATTATCGCATCACTGAATTAGATCCGTCAAGTGTGAAAAGAATGGTAAATGAGAATAACTTTGGCCCGGTCTTGGAATGGGATCAGCTTAAACAACAGCACAAAATTAGTAATGTTTTTGCCGGTTATACCGAGGGACCTATAACCTTCAAACCTACATATAAATATGATCCAGGCACAGACAACTGGGATTCCAGTGAGAAGAATCGTGCCCCTGCATGGTGTGACAGAATATTTTGGAGAGGTGATAACATCACTCAACTGGCCTACAGAAGCCATCCAGCATTAAATATCAGTGATCACAAACCTGTCTCGGCTTTGTTTACGTCATCAATCCGAATAATAGATGAAGAAAAATATAGAAAAGTATATGAAGAAGTCATCAAACAACTTGATAAAATGGAGAATGAATTGATTCCACAAGTGAAGGTTGATATCACAGAGATAGATTTCGGTACAGTGAGGTACTTGGAGTTGCAAGTACGCACTATAACAATAAAGAACACAGGCAAGTTACCAGTTGAATTTGAATTCATCAAGAAATTGGATGAAAGTAGTTTCTGCAAAGACTGGCTGATTGTTGAACCATATAAAAAATGCATCTGTGCTGATGAATCATGTGAGATTCAACTAAAAGTACTTATAAATAAGACTTCAGCATGTAAAATGAATGCTGGAACTGATAAACTATATGATATCCTTGTATTGCATTTATATGGTGGTAAAGATATCTTCATAACAGTTAATGGCACATACCAAAGAAGTTGTTTCGGTTGCTCCATAGAGGTTTTAGTAAATCTTAACATACCTATAAGGGAGGTTCCAGTTGGGAAGTTGGTCGAGCTGGAAAGCAAAAGAGACCAATATATTTCAAATCAGTCAACATATTCTATACCAAAGGAAATATGGTTTTTAGTAGACCACATATACTTGCATGGGTTGAAAGAACCAAATTTATTTGAGCAACCAGGTTTGCATTCAGAAGTTTTACAGATAAGGGATTGGCTAGACAGTGGGTCTATAGACCCTATACCTGGAAGTATCCATTCTGTGGCTGAAGCCCTGCTGTTATTATTGGAGAGTACTGCAGATCCAATCATACCATATAATCTACATCCGGTTTGCTTGCGAGCATCTGCAAACTATTTGCAATGCAAGCAAATTGTAATGGAGCTACCAGAGTTCAGAAAGAACGTTTTTTTGTACCTGTGCGAATTTCTACAGGAAGCACTGCAGCATAATGCAGAAAATGGACTGGACGCTAAGACGCTGTCCACATTATTTGGTGCAATATTCCTTAGAGATAATCCAAATGTTGTCCAGGAGCCGCAATCTCGTATTAACAAACAAATAATTGATAAGAAAAAGGCACAATTTGTTCATCATTTCTTAATCAATGATCACAGTGACTTAATTTTTACAAAATAATTTTAATAACGTTTTTATTATATTTTCTTTTGGATAAGTTTTTTTAATACTCAAATTAATTTGACATTGTCATCCTAAAAATTGTCATTTTTATATTGATTGCAATGCATTCATTAGAATAATTATTTATTTTTCATTGTTAACTATTCATAGACATAATGGTGATTGCCATTTTTTTGATAATATTGACCATGACTTTAAATAAACTGATAGATAATTTAAATAGTTTGCTTGGTCAATAGTTTTTAGGTTTGTTTTGAACAACAATATTATGAAATAGTTTGTGTTCATTTTAATTTTTTGTATATTTAAAATACTACCATTTCAACGAATATTATGTGAAACAAATAAAGTGATTGTACATTATGTTAATTATGTTTTAAGGTGAAATATGTTGAGCAACTGCTCTGATTCCAAATATGAAGGTTCTGACATTAATTTAGATTTTGTGTTATTTTAAATAATATGTATTGTATTACTAGATATTTGAAATAGAAACATCACAAATTAACCTAAATATTTGACAAATAGCCATTGCCATATTTATTAAACTGTGTGACTCTGTGGTTTATTAATTATATAGTATATTTAGGTACATAGCGTGCATTATGTGTCATACCAATAGCATATTTAAATGTGATGTAATCCCCATAACAACTTATAATAAACTGTAACAAATAACATACATATATCCTTTTCAAGTACATGTTGTCATATTTATTTTGAATATTGTAACTTTTTAATTCTTGTAATACTGTGTCAAATAGTGACTTTACAGTCCATGTATACGTAGAATTTTTTTTAGATGTATTGTTACATGCCGATCTTGTAACTGAAAGTATTTGAAATATTTATTGTTTATTTATTAAATTAAATAACTTATGTCATTGTTGGTATTTTTATTTAATATTGTTTCGTAGTGGAAGAGGCTACAATTAAGAAAGCAGACCCCACCCACATATTATTACTAAGTTGCAAGAGAGACTATTTGAAAATTTAAAAGTTACGTACTTTTAAGTTTTAAAATATTTTCTTTATGAATCCCATTTTCTTTATCAATTATGTATGTGTTATATGACATATTGAGGTGCTCCATTCATTAAATGTTCTTTACAGGTCTATTCTGGTAGTCTTTTTAGACCTAAGATACAAAAGAAATTAATAGATTTAAAAATATTTGTCTTAATTGTATTGCAATAATAATTTCTGTATTCGCTAAGAAATGGCGCTATCTATTAGATAAGCATTAAAGCAAATATAGCTGGTAATTAACGCTAAAGTTTTTTGTTTAATAAAAATATTTGGTAATTTTGGGTGTGCTATTTAAACATTTCTACTTTTATTTGTTAAAAACTTGTGATTCTGCACAATTTTGAACGCAGCTTCCTAGATCACTGGTCGATATATTGAACAAAAGAGCGCGTGATTCGATTTGAGCCAATCACATCAACGCATTTGACCGTTATGTCAACTAGGATGAGAGCCTCTGTCATTCACTGAAATAATTTGAGTTGAACGAAGTCTTCGATAATCGTAATATCCTGTGTTCCCTTCGTTTAGTTCAAATTCAATTTATAACTGTTTCAACGGTGCAAAGTGTGAGAAGTTATAAATGCGAGTTGCAGTTTGAACATTACAATTCGTCGGACACTTGCATAAATCGGACGTTTTTAAACTTTGCATTTCTTTGTTCGCGGTGTATAAGGAACCATGGAAGTTGAAAACAAAGGTAAGTAAACAAACATTTTGTTATTTTCTACTACTTTTACACAGCGATTCTAATAAGAATTTACGACAAATAATTTTTTTCATAATTTTGAAATTTTCTGCAATTGACAAAAAATAAACAATGAATAAAAGTAATAGTAGTAACCAAATTATTACTTGTATTTTTTTAATTGCAAGTAATAATGAATATTATGTATTTCCTTTAAAAATAAAAACGTGACATTTGCACCTAAATAATATTAGCGATATTTTCACGAATAATTATTAAACATTGACGCAATAACCAAATAATGAAGGATTTGCCGGAGCGATAAGTAAAGGCATTTCACTAGCTTTAATTTAAATTATTCGAATTTGTAAATTATTTTTCTACCCGCCGAATAATTTTCTCTCATATCTTCTTTTTTATTAAATAACCCAAGAACTTTCTTTTATCTGTATACAAACAAATACTCGTCAATTGTTTGATCCTGCGCCTGCGACTATTACATTTTAACAGGATTAGCTAATTTTAATTAAAGCACCATTTTAAAAAACAAAACTTCGTAACCTTTAAAAAAGTTAAGATATGTTATTCTTCTTGAAATGCCTTTAAAATAATCCACATTCTAATACACATTTGATAGGAATTATGATTCGTAAAACTTTTATAAAAATTCTAACAAACTTTACTATGGAACCGCGCAATACATAATGTAACATGTAACATTTTAATTTTCTGTTAAATGATATGTAACTATCAAATCAATTCCGAAACTAAGTGGATATAATTTTAAGATAAATAAGGGTAAATGTTAAAGCTTCTTGACTTTGTCTTATTATTATAAAAATATGATGCAGCCGTAGCCTTATCGATATAAAGTTATTTAACCTTGTTATCGTTTATGTCTGCATGTGCATTATAAAGTTTCTTGTATCATAGTAAACAATGCCTTTGTTCTTGTTGCAAGCTCGTCATTATCAAGAATTGTTATCGGAATTATTTTTATAAAACCGTTATTATTTGTATTGTGATTGTATGGCTTTGTTCTGTTTAGAATTAATGGATTATTTGGGCTTCCTCTGTTGAGGCGTATTGAATGAGGTGGGAGAGACGTCTTGTAAAGTGAGTGGTTATGTAGAAATCGTATAAGTAGCAGAAGTAGTACTAGATACAAGTATTAAACTTGTGAAGCATATATACGAGTATGTATATACATCGAACAAAATGTTAACATAAAAATTTATTTGCTCATTTGCGTAACAGTGGTGTATTTTATGTCTACCCAATGCAACTACAGGCGCGAGTGCTTATTTCAAATTTGCATAATAACGGATTCTTTTAAGTACTTATCTGATATTTTTAATATGACATCACCGTAACCGTCCCGACTAATTGCGTCTCTTTACATCGATATCTTTAGGTCACAACGGTTCTTTAGCTCGTCTACACAAAGGCGAGTATTCTCTTTTATATGTTGTACGTGTGTTTGTCTGTTAGTCATCGCACGCGACGGTTAAACTTGTTCCAGTTCATGAATGTTTGTTTTTGTGGAGGCGGACGTCTTCGGTTTGAATTCGCGACCGTTGATCGCAAGGACAGTGTGTAGGTGACTCATAAATATACCTCGTCGGCTTTCTACATTCTTTTAAATTGAGGAAGAAAAATACTTTAGTTGTGAAAACTTTTAAATAAAACTCTAATTTAAAGTTTTCAATCGTAAAAATATTTTTTACTTTTAAAAAATACGAAGAGAAAAAAAACCAGTGGTTTGCGGGTCGCATTATTGTTCTCGAAGTCGCGTTTATCTCGTAGGCCCCAGTTTGAAGAAATAGAAGGGTCGCTTTTAATTTGTGAAGAACAAATTAAAATTTCTACTGTTTTTAATTAACATTGTTGCTTCAAGCGATTGTCTGGTTGTTGCTATATGCTTTCTACCCTTTTATGGTATGTTCAAGCGTTATTATCGTCTGGAACATGTTATACAGTTTTAGTCTGGCTCGTATTTATTGGAACACATGTTTGAATTACCATGTGTTACTAACTCGGTGAAGGGAAACTTTAAATAAATATAAGACGTACAGTACACATTTTTATCGCATCTTGAATTTAAGAAGTAGAAGATTTTAATTTTATTAACTTTTTAGGTTGTAGTATAAGTAACTGGTGAAAGATACGAACAGCAAAATACTTTGGTCTCAGCAAAATACTCAATCTTCTTGAAAAAGATCTTGACATATTGATTAAACTGGATAAGTGTGAAAGCTCTATTAACGTGAAGAATATAATTGTCAGTTGGATTCGACGATTCGACTGTATACGCCGGTTGAAACTCATGGACACTGGCCGTTCGAGTGTAGTCGTAGGTGATAAGTAAGATTGATGTCAATGTGCTAATAGCGGTCTGATATCCGGATCATGTGGTGAGCGAATCCGATTAGTGCCGGCCAAATCGCTTTTGCTTTTGTATTACACAGAGTCCTCATTTTCCCGTTAAGGGAATCTCTTAGCGTGAATATCTAAGACAGACCACCTAAAAACTATTCTAAAGTTTCAAGTAGTCAAAGTTGCGGGAAACTACTAAGCCATAATTTAACTGGGTGTGTTATCCTGTGAATAGTAACAATGCACACTTTCTATATGCTGGTTGTAGGAGGAGGAGGTATAATGGATACTGTTTCTGTGTAATGGCGTGTGAAGTGAGCTCCGAAACGCGAGCCACATTTACATTAGCCACGGACCACTGACAGCAAATTATTTGTGCTATTGATTTGGTAATTTTAAATGTTAGGAAAAGAGTAGTTTGGGCGAATTAACGGTCGTGATTTTTAAAGTCAGTATTTTTTTTTCATAACAATATTATGGTGACAGGAAATTTAAAAAATCATCATATTTGCCTGTAATGGTTTACTGCTGGGCATGAACCTTACTTAATTATACGAATAATACAATAATACCAAACTATTTTTTTAATTAGATAAACATGAAATACTAAAAAGAAAATCCTTGTAAGTTTCAGGCGAAATTCTTAGTAGAATCTAAACTAAAAGTTGTTATTAAATTGTTATTAATTACATCTGTTTAGTGCGCGCTGTGAAGCGGGAGAGCAAAGTTTCTTCGCAAACCAACTCCTTTAACGTTTATTGAATTGACACTAAGAAAATCCATTTCTCCAAGGGCTTTGATTAAAAATACAGACCTTAGGGTTGCGAACAGTTTTGTTGCGAATATTTATTGTGAATTAAAAACATTATTCTTTGTTTAATACTCTGAGTTGGATTCTTAGGCTGAAGTCGTAACTCATATTTCCCTTTTATAAATGGTCATTGAGGCAGTCGCTTAATGTCGATGATAAGAAAACTAGCAGTGACTCTGGGTGTGGCATTAAACACACATTTCTATATAAATCACCACTCTGTTGTACCCTAATATTGATTTTTTAAAATTATAGGTTAGATAAAAGTTCGATAATTTGAAGTAGCAACCCTGACAGTTATCCCTGGTCTAAGGATAGCGCTTTTGAGGTTCTATAGGTAGATTCAATAAATCGGAACGATGTAATGCAATTTCTCTCCGCGTTTAATAGCGCCATTTTACGGCCGCAAGCTGTGTTCATTTGTAGGGGCGAGCTGACTTAGGTTTATTTAGGCCAGATGGGCAGATATTTATCGTAAGGTTCTATTCTATCATTTATTAAATATAACATCAACTATGTAATGTTACATAGCATCTACATTACGTCTTATTTACTTACGTTTACTAGTTAATTTACGCAGTAACAAAATATCTTTATTACCGAGGTTCACAAAATTTGTAAGATAAATAAAGAATTGAGCCATTTAAACGCGATTACAGCATAAAAGGGCAGAGTGTGAGCGAGGGTCGCATGTAGTAAAGTGTTTATTCGCGTGTCTGTAAAACAACCATCCCCGGAACTGGCCCGACCCTTATTTGGGAGATGGTTTCATTACCATATCAATGCAAGGAATCGCTCGACGCACCCCCGCGCCCCGCGCCCCCACACCCCGCACTTGGCAAATATTGACCATTGTACGCGCCGCGCCCTCTCGCGGAATTATACGCAAATAAAATTGATTTATGTGTCTGGATGAATTAAAAGATTCATTTCATATTCATATTTGCTATGTGTATTGAATAAAACCTTCAAGTCAAGCTGTATCATTTGTTTTGTCGATGGTGCTATACAGCTTTTATTTGAATTGTCTACAATCACCATTCATACAAAACTAAGTACTTAATGTACTATCGAAGTCATATTTTTTTGGTATATTTTTGTGTTTGTATGCTTCTGTCTCCTACTGCCATTTCAATTTGCAATCTGTTCGTGTTGTATTGCGATGCCGCTCTATTAATTTCAAAATACAATAGAGGTCAATGCTCCGACAGCCGATTTTCTGCAACAATACAAATTCCGTGAACAAAAACTGTAGAGTCACTGTATAAACAAAAAAAAGAAATTGTTTCCGTTCCCAGGCTAATGTCCTAGGTTTATTTTGTTGGTGAAAGAGGAGAGAGATAAAAGGTTTAAGAGAACATAATAAATTTTACTTTAAAATTATTAAAATGTAGTATAAACAAAATTTAACTAACTACACTTTGTAATAAATACGGACGTAAGACATTTTAAATGCTTTTAATTTTTTTTTAGTAGAAATAACTTTTTAAAAGACGTTTGTATGAATAGGCTCTCAGCGTCTTAAACTGTGCTAAGTAGTTTTTCGTCTGCGGCAAAGTGTTCTTCAGTTCAATCTTAGCACGAAAGAAAAAGATACGGTGGAATATTTATTTTAACATTCTTAAATATAGCACACATTTTATTAATTTACATTTTATATACCACATTTTAAATAAACTGTTACCGTTACTGACGAGCTTTAAATCTTTTTTTACTTCTTAATTTTACGTTTTACGTAAGCTCCTATTGGAATGTTTTATAGGAATCCCTTTATGTCGGTATTATTAATACACTGCTACTGTTTTTACTAATAAATTTAATAATC